CACCCGCACCACCAACCAGGGCCAGGGACAAACTGCAACCGAGTTACATGCCCTTAGTGGGAATCGAACCCGGGTCTCTCTGGCCGACGCTCTAACCGCTGAACAGGGCTGATTTTTTTGTTTTTATCCTGTTTGAGATTCATAGCCCTTTTGAACCTGCAGCCTCATATTCATCTAATTAGGAATTTTCTAAGCCCTTATCTCTTCAAATAATACTGTCTTGCTTCTTGTCTCTTATTTTAGAACTACAATTACATGTATGACAGTTTTCTTTTGTCTTGTTGGTTTGGGTTTATTTATTTATTTATTTATTTCTCAACTACAGTTGACACTCAATATTATATTTGTTTTACGTGTACAGCATAGTTTGACATTTATTTAACTTATGAAGTGAGCACTCTGATAAGTCTGGTACCCACCTGACACTATACATAGTTACTACAATATTACTATATTTTCCTTGCTGTACTTTACATCCCCGTGACTATTCTTTAACTGCCAGTTTGTATATCTTAACCCTTTCACCTTTTTTACCCAGCCTCCCAGCCCTCCAAACCCCCTTCCATCTAACAACCATCAGTTTGTTTTCTGTGTCTATAAGTTTGTTTCTGTTTTTGTTCATTTCTTATTATGTCTTTAATGTCTCTTTCCCTGTCTTGTATTTTTCATCCTTTTGAGACTCTGATTCATCCTGATTCTTCTTTTAATGTGTCTTTCAGTTCACTAATTATCTCTTCAACTGTGGTTTATCTACTGTTAAATCCACTCCTTATTTCTGTTGTGTGGTTTGTTTTTTAGTTCTTTTAGTTTTTTGAGTTTTTGGCTGTACTGGAATTTTCAGTCTTGTTTATGTTTTGGGACATATTTATCACATTTTTTAAAGTTTGTGTCTGAAGACTCCATTTTCTAGATCCTCATATGTGTAATTCTATAGTCTGTATTTCTCTAGATCTTTAGTCATGTTGTTCTATTTGTATGCCTAATGACTTTTGATTGAGTGCTAGACATTGTATATGAAAAATTATGAAAATTGTGAAGCCTAGGATAATGTATTCTTTATCCCAGAAGGATTTACATCTTCTTTGGGCATGAGGCTAAGGACACAACCAATTATCTAGTGACTTGAAGCACTTTGTGTCCCAAGCCAAGCCTGGTGATCTCACTGACATCACTTTTCCCGCCACCTTTCTGCTTGGCCTTTTCCTTGAGTTTGTTTCTCTCTTGCCTAATGAGGCTGTTTTAAAGCTACATACCAAGTTTCTTTGGGATCTGCAGATGACCGCAGAAGGAAAGCTGTTCCAAACCTTGGGGTTTCAGTCCTATTCCCTGTGCTCACCCTGTTAGTCTTCTATGCTGTCTAGTTATTCTCAGCCTGTCAGTCAGTCTGGATTGCCTAGCCTGCCATTAATAGAAGTGGAAGTTCCCCCAGATTCATTTTATTTCCTGCTTAAATATAGCCACATCTTAAAAGAGAATGTAAGTTGTAAAAAGTTTGAATTCTCATATGTCAGATAATATTCTGTTTAGTTGTAAATAGAATTATTTCAAAATCATTTTCCTTCAATACTTTACAGCTATTATTTCATTAGTTTCTTTGTGTTGTTGTTGTTGATCCTCACCTGAGGATATTTTTCCATTGATTTTTAGAGTGGAAGGGAGGGAGGGGACGAGAGAGAGAGAGAGAGAGAGAGAGAGACATGAGTGTGAGAGAGACAAATCAATTGGTTGCCTCCTGCACGACCCCCGTGGGGGCCAGCATCAAACCTACAACCCAGGTACATGCCCTTGACCAGAAATGGAACCTGTGACCCTTCATTCTGCAAGCTGATGCACTAACTGCTGAACCAAACCTGCCAAGGCTTCATTAGTTTCTTATATTTAGTAGTATTAGTAAGACCTTTAACTTGAATCTGATTTTCACCTCTTCCTAATAAATCTTATTTTCCCTCCTTCTGTAGAAGTTTTTGTCATATTTTTGATTTATCTTTAATATTTAGAAGTTTTACTGTAATGTATAGGGCTATGGGTTGTTTGTTTTTTAATTTATCCTTCTTAAGTTCTTTTAATCTAACTTTTTTTTCCTACACAAACTCTCTTACTGGTTTTCTCCCACACTCCCTTATTTTCCTGTCTTGGAAGGACTCCTCACAGTTTCTGTCTCAGCAGTTCTGCTTCTTATTTTCTAATGTAGCTACATACTCATGTGTGTATTTGTTTGTAATACATCCTCTGTTATTTCTAGGAATCTGGTGAGAGGAGAAGAGGTTGTAAAACATGCTCTTTACTGTCTTGAATCTCAGTCATTCCTTTTATAACTTAATCGAACAAAATCATGTTCCTCTAGTCAGGTTGCCCTTGGATCATATTCTGATGTGCTGCCACTAAGGTATCTTTATGTCAGCTAACTTCAGCATTGCAGCCTTTGTTCAGTGTATAAGTACCTTACTTACTGCAGTCATTCTAAAATCTTTACTGTATGAAACTCCACAAAAGGAAGACAAAGAACCCAATTAAAAAATGGGCAGAGGAACTAAATAGACACCTCTCCAAACAGGACATACAAATGGCTAAGAGACATATGAAGAAATGCTCATCATCACTAATCATCAGAGAGATGCAAATTAAAACAACAATGAGGTATTACCTCACACCTGTCAGAATGGCCGCCATCAACAAATCATCAAACAACAAGTGTTGGCGAGGGTGTGGAGAAAAGGGGACTCTAGTACACTGCTGGTGGGAATGCAGACTGGTGCAGCCACTATGGAAAACAATATGGTGTTACCTCAAAAAATTAAAAATTGAACTTCCATTTGATCCAGTGATCCCACTTCTAGGAATATACCCTAAGAAGCCTGAAACACCAGTCAGAAAGAATATATGTACCCCCATGTTTGTAGCAGCACTATTTACAATAGCTAAGATTTGGAAACAGCCCAAGTGTCCATCAGTAGACGAATGGTTCAAAAAGCTGTGGTACATATACACAATGGAGTACTACGCAGCTGTAAGAAAGAAAGATCTCTTATCCTTTGAGACTACATGGAGGGACCTGGAAAGTATCATCCTAAGTGAAACAAGCCAAACAGAGAAAAACAAGTATCATATGATCTCGCTTATTTGTGGAATATAATGACCATAACAGTCTGAGGAATGGGGTAGTCCCAGAGACATGGAAGTGGGGTACAGACTGACAGTCCCCAGAAAAGGGGATGGTGGGGGAGAGATAAACCACAGAACTTATATGCATGTATGCATGAACAGTGGACATGGACAACAAACTGGGGACAGGGCAGGGAGGGAAGGGAAGGGGGGAATCAGTGGGGGAAAAAAGGAGAAACATCTGTAACAAAAATTAATTAATAAAAAATAAATATATTAAAATAAATAAATAAATGAAAAATAAAGTGTTTCATTAGATCCTGAAAAAATAAAAAAATAAAAAATAAAATCTTTACTGTATGAAATAGCATTAGAACAACTTTTTATAACTTAGTTTTAGAAAAACTAACATGCAAAATGCAAGGAAGGAGCAAACCCCTTAGCTTATTGTCAGCTAAAACTGTAGAACTGAGCCCAGTGTGGCTCAGTGGTTGAGCATTGACCCTGCACCAAGAGGTCGCCGGTTCAATTCCTGGTCAGGGCACATGCCCAGGTTGTGGGCCCGATACCCAGTGGGGGGCGTGCAGGAGGTGACCAGTTGATGTTGTCTCTCATCAATGTTTCTATCTGTATCTCTCTCTTCCCTTCTTCTCTCTAAAATCCATAAAGGAAAAAAATTTTTTTAAATAAATAAAATTGTAGAAGTGAATTTAGAGAGCAAGCCAAAAAGACTGGAAAGGAATAAGAAGAACAGCAGGGGAAAGCTTGGGAACAGTTGGACTGTGAGATGGGCGACAATGTGCTGAGGGGCAGGGCAGGTGGGCTCTGATGGGCAGCATAGACTCGAAGTGTTCCTGCTTTGACTGTTTTATGTGTAGACTCTCCTGTGGTGGGTAAGAGTTACAGGGAGCTGAGCCCTGGATGTGAGGGCCAGGGATAAACTCCCAAGGGAGTGTCGGATGTCCTGATGTCCCTGGGCCTCCTGTGAGCACTCACTCCCCAGGGTGCCTGAGCTCACACCCCTCCCAGTTCCCCAGACTGGGAGCCCTCTACTTTAGGCTTTCTTTTTTCCCCTAGATTGGCCTACTTTTACCACTCCAGAAATCTAAATAGATATGTACAGAAATAAATTTTCAGAGCTATCTTAACTTTAACAAAATCAAAATCTAAGTAGTCTCATTGAAATGTTTAAGTAATTTTCATGAAATGGCCTCTCAATGCTAGTTATATAATTCCTGCCTAGCCTGTTATTGTCAATGATTTCTAGAATTTTGCATTGCATTTAATATGTAATAAGCAACTTTGCTATCGAGTTAATATGTTTCTAGAGGTAAAATGTTATGATACTCTAATCACAGTGGGTATTATTTTGATCAGGCAAATTCCTCTGGCACTTACTGTGTTTATTCCCAACATTAAATACCATCTATAAATTTTGGTTAACTTACGATTTTTCTCCTGAAAGTTTTTCATCACTCTTAGTAAGCTTTTAAAATATCACATTTAGAATTTTAAAGTTCTGCATGAAACCAGGAGAGGCCTATTTATTACTCCATAGGCTTAAAATGAAAAGAGTTTTAATTAATCCCTTATGTTCTTTTAGGACTTAAAAATAGAGAAAGAAAAAATTTTAAACTCACTTATCCTTCTATTGAGCACATAATTCTATTTAAACATTTAAAAATATATTTAATCCCAGTTCCGTAAAGTTTGAAATGCTTGGGAAGTTTTCATCCTGATAAAGACAAGTAAACAGAATAATGCACATTTTAAACTTTAAAAATCTATTAGTAAGAGCTAATTTCCTCAAGTGTTAAACATATTTACAACATGAAACACCCAAATATTAAAACCATTCCACATGCTGTAGCAGAAACTTAAAACAGAAAACTTTTTACCTGGGAATCTACACACTAAGTAGGTTTTGCTTGGTGTCATTTACGTCTCCTGCAGAAAACGAAACAAACCAGAGCTTTCTTTAAAACAAAGAACAGAGGGAGTGTTGAAAAATGTTAACTGACTTCTTAGTGAAATCTAAAATAACTGCATCCCTTGGGCATAAATGCCTTTCCGTTCTTTGTGCAGAAAATCAGCCAAGACCGTAACCAGGGAACATGGTTACCAAGGGAAATATTTTCTCTGTCACAGGGAAGTGGAAAGCAGCAGCGGGGAAAACATGAGTCTGTAGGCTGAGGAGGTGAAGTTGGAGACACAGCGAGACTTGATGAAGAAGTCTGCTTTTCATAGACTGTGGGCGTCAACATCTGTCCGTGCCTGTGCAGTGCCCTTGGGTGCTGTCAGACTGCAGGGGGCCCTCTGCTATTGAGTGCGAGGTCTCCTCCGTGCCTGCGCAGCTCCCCCAGGTGCTGTCAGACTGCAGGGGGCCCTCTGCTATTGAGTGCCAGGGCTCGTGCTCTCTCCTCCCTCCTCTGCGGCTGCACAGTGCTGGCCTTGGGACTGGATCACTTTCTGCCTTGAGCCACAGCAGGAGGGTGTGTAGGGAGCTGTGCAGAGTCCGACTGCTCTGGCAGGTGGTTGTGCACTTTGGCCTGAGTCCTGCGTGTGCAGGCGGCAGGTCAGATCAGGAAGGGGACTCAGGCCCACACCACTGCTCACTGTTTCTGACTGAAGATTGTTCTTCTGTCCAACAGGGCTGATAATACCCACCTCTCAAATTTGTGTGCAAATAAATGAATAACATATATAAAGTGCCTGTCATAGACTAGGTAATGATAGAAGACCTATTTTGTCAATTCTTACTATTTTACCTCATGGGTTCAAATTATTTGACAAGAGAAAAGCAACATTTTTGTTTTCCCGAAATCTTGTAATTGCCTAGACAGATCAAGTCAAGGTGCTGGATTAAGCATGTGAGCCACCCAAATTCCTAAAAATTATGCAAGCTACATTTGTTTATTAAAATTTAATACTGCAATGCAAAACACTATTAATTAGAAGGCAAGAAATCTGCCCTGGCTGGGTGTTCAGTGGTTAGAGCGTTAGACCGAAGGTTTGCAGATTCAATTTCCAGTCAAGGGCATGTACCTGGGTTGTAGGTTTGATCCCTAGCCCCAGTCGGAGTCATGGCGTGGCAGCCAGTGGATGTGTCTCTCACATCGGTGTTTCTCTCTCTCTCTCTCTCTCTCTCTCTCCCTCTCTCTCTCTCTCCTTCCTCCTTCCTCCTTCCTACTCCCTCCCATTCTTTCTAAAAAATCAATGGAAAAATATCCTTGGGTGAGGATTAACAACGACAAAAAAGACAGAAATCTGAGAACTTTCTTAAAGACTGAAGGCACACAGGCTCTCCGATGGACACCACCACAGCCAGAACGTGTGGGACAGGCCTGCTCTGTGGGTGCTCCAGGGCTAGAACTTAAATTCCAGGAGTGCTGAGGTTTGCTGGAAACTGCTCTTCAGACTAGGGCAGATGACCCCGTCCTCCTGAAGTCTCTGGGGTTTGTTCCAAATCTTGGGCATTTGCCCCCAAACTGAACTCATGTTCAGAATCCAAACTCACTCCAGAACAGATCAGGACCAGCACAGAGTTGACCACCTCCACCCACTTTTTCAGAGCTTTGCTTCTGTACTTTGACTCTGTCTTCTCAGTCATAAGCAGATAACACAATATTGCCCCAAATGGGGGAAGGTTTGGACGTTAGAAATAGGGTTCCCCCCTCCCCAAGAATACACACACACAATCAGAAAGAAAAATAACTTTTGAAGACTCACTCAACAATGAGGTGTCACTAGATACCTATTAGAATTGTAGAAATCCAGTGCTGGGTGGTGTGGCCCAGGTGGTTGGGGCGTCAACCTGTGCGTGGAAAAGGTGGCGGGTTCGATTCCTGTCAGAGAACATACCCAGGTTGCAGATATGGTCCCCAGTCAGGGTGTGTGTGGAAGGCAACTGATTGATGTTCCTCTCTCACATCGATGCCCCCCCCCCCACTTCCTCTCTCTAAGATCAATTTAAAAAAAAGAACTGCCAAATCTCAAAACAGTGACACCACCAAATACTGGGAGAATGTGGAGCGACAGGAACTGTCACTTGTTTCTGGTGGGAACACAGAATGGTGCGGCCACTTTGGAAGACAGTTTGGCAATTTCTTACAAAACTAAACATACTCTCACCCTCCCATCCAACAGTCATGCTCCTTGGTATTTACCTAAATGGGCTGGAGACTTGTGTTCTAACAAAAACCTACACACGGATGTTTATAGCAGCTTTATTCATAATTGCTCAAACTTAGAAACAACTAAGATGTTGTGCAGTAGGTGATAAATAAACTGGTGCATCTGAGAAGTGGAATGTTACTCAGTGCTGGAAAGAAATGGACTGTCAGGCCATGAAAACACAAGGGGACCCCTAACTGCACATTGCAAAGTGGAAGGCTTCAAGCTGCAAAGGCCACGAGCTGCGTCATCCCAACTCTGACCTTCTGGAAATGGTAAAACGTGGAGACAAAAAGAGAGCAGAGGTTGTTAGGGTTTGGGAGGGAGGGAGGAATAGGTGGAGCACAGAGCATTTTTAGGGCAGTGAAAACATTCTGTGCGATGTTATCAAGATGGATGCATGTCATTATACAGTTGTCTCAACCCACACAGTGTGTGACACCTGGAGGAACCGTGGACTCGGGTGATGTCAGTGCAGGTCCTTGGTTGTAGCAAATGCACCCTTACAGTGTGTATGTGTGTGTGTGGGGGGGGGGCGGGGTGACATAGGGGAAACCTCTGCACCTTCTCAATTTCACTATGAATCTGAAATTGCTTTTTAATTAAGTATCTTAGAAATATGTGGCCTGATTTAAAATACAAACATTGCTTGGGGAGGAAAAAATCTTGATGACATGCAGGGCAAACAGAAACTCATTCTCTGAGGGCGGCTTAAAAATAGCCATATTCTGTCCCAGCCTTTTACTCTGTCCATCGGAGAAACACATCTTTCTTGGCACAAGTGTGCCTCTGGGAAAGCATTTTGAAACATTGTAACCATGGGGTGGGGGGAATGAACCTAGTTGTGTATTGACATGGTACAGTGGGCTGCCATAGCTATGGAGACAGTCTGAACTGACTGCTGTATCAGCATGCAAAGCTGTCCACCAGATACCAAGGAGCAGAAGATATTTCAACAGTGCACATGCTCTTTTCTCACCTTCTTTCAAAGCACACAGTTTAGCACCATACCAGAAAAGTTGGAAGGAATACACAACAAACTGTTAATAGCGGTTATCTTAGGGATGGGCTTAGGGGAAACCTTACTATGTAATTCTGCATTTTTATAATGTTTTGAGGTTTTTATTTTTTAAATTTTTTTTCCTTTATTGATTTTAGAGAGAGAGGAAGGGAGAAGGAGAGAGAGATAGAAACATCGATGAGAGAGAACATCGATTGGCCGCCTCCTGCATGCCCCCCACTGCAGATAGGGCCCACATCCTGGGCATGTGTCCCAACTGGAAATTGAACTGGCAATCTCCTAGTGCAGGGGTCGACACTCAACCACTGAGCCACACCAGCCAGACTGTTTTGAGCTTTTTTGTAACCAGGTCTGAAAACTAGTTAAAAAAAAAGAAAAGAGTCATGGGTTCGATTCCAGTCAAGGGCATGTATCTCAATTGTGGTTTGGTCTTCCGCCCTGGTCATGGTTGTGCGGGAGGCAACCAGTTGATGTGTCTCTCTCATTGATTCTCCCTCTCTGCCTCCCACTCTGTCTGAAAATAAATGGAAAAATTCCTTCGGATGAGGATTTAAAACAAAAAAGCAATTGTCTTTTTACAGTTAGAGAATGAAATCAAGGAGAAAATGTGCTTTAAATATCAAGTATATTTAAAAAGATATCAAGTACGTAGGAATCATCTAACCAAAGATGAGCCAGATAACCTCAGAGAAAATGTTGAGAGAAAGTAAAGACCGTATGGGGAGGGCATGCCAAGGATGGCAAAGACAGCATGTCCGCGTAACCCGATCCAACTGATGCCATGTCAGCCAAAATCCTAGCAGTTATACAATGTTGGCTGTTTGTGGGGTTTTTTATTTTTTTGTAGTGGAATTTGACAAATTCTGAATGTATATGGAAATGCAAAGGCCAAAGGATAGCCAAGTCATTGTTGAAGAAAAAGGCTAGAGGAACTTCTGTCTTAAATATCAACTCTATTATGGGAAACGACAGTAATGAGGACCGTTTGGTAATGACACAAAGATAAACAAGAAGCCAGTGGACAGCACAGCACAGCACTCGTCCTTGTCCAGCTACTTGATATATGAGAGCAGTGGCCCTGCAGGGGTGGGGCTGCCTCATCTCTGCCAGAACTGTCCAGAGGGACTGAGGAACAAGAAGAGACTGCAGATGTGAAAACAGGCCCTGAGTATGTTCTGGGCTGCTTCAGACTAGAACCAAGGTCAGTGGACAGGGCACCAACAGGCTGCTTGGGGCTTAGTATAGAAACAAACCAACTTTCTTACAACCAGAGCTGTCTGGCCAAGCTGCCTGAGGAGGGGCTGAGTCTGCAGGACTAGCAGGGTCTTGGAGAGACAGGGGACCTTCGCAGGGAATGAATGCTGTCGGAGGGACTTCACCGACGCTGACCTCGGCAAAGCCCTTTCAGTGGCAAGGTTCTGTGTGGTCATGAGTCTCCTCCTTAGGATGGCATTGTCAGCCACAGGGACCTTGGAGGCCCATTCCTCTCTGAGGACTTCTCTCCCGCCCTGAGCAGTTTGATCGGAGAAGGGTTAGTAAAATGGCCCACACAGATTGTCAGGGTCCTAGGTCAAGTTCTTTGCCCATGGGTTCTCCAGTTCACAGCCCTCCCGTGGACAGACCCCAATCTCCCTGCTGAGCATACTAGCAGAGGACACATGGATCGGTTCCTCTGCATGACATCCGGGTGTAGAGAAAACCCCAGTGAGCAAATGGCGTGGCTCTAGGGAGCTGGAGTCTTGATAAGAGGAACTGATCTTCTGAAGTTGTACAGC